TGTCTCTCCTCTTCCTTTCCACTCTCTCTAAAAATAAAGGGGAAAATATCCTCGGGTGATGATTAACAACAACAAAAAAGATTTAAAAATAACCCTAAATTGAATCTTCAAACAAACAAAATGTAGTTCCTACAAGTAATTAATAAGGTAGCTGTAACAATATTCCTTTTGAGTCAGTATTCTAACTGTTGACACTTGGTGGGATATAACCTTGGCACAGAAAGCACTATGAAGAAATATTGACCTTTACTTAGTAGATTTGTTTTTGGTAGAGGTTGCATTATAGTATTTTCAAATAGAGCTAATGAGAAATATTGATGTAGTTGTGAATTAGGATTCCAACCTTAGGAAAAGGGAGATACATATGTGAAATCAGGGAAGATGAGGAATACTATATTAGATTTGAATGAGAATTGTCAGTATGAACTCATATATTTTAAAAGACTAGCTTTGTCCACCAAAAGGGCCTAAAAGCAAATGAAACCTCGGGCATCGAACACACCTTACACCCAGATCTTGGTTTTTAAATGCCAATGCCCACTAAAAGGGCTCCTAGTAGAAATGATTGATTTCAGGTCTGGTACAGGAAAAATAACAAGGTGAGCCTAAAACTTCTTGTGTTAGAAGGATGTGTTTGAGCCTAACAGGAATACCTCCCACCACCTCCTTTCTCTGGGAAGAATTCAGGGGCTTCCTCACAACCATTCCTCCAGGATCTGAAAACTACCCCTGGAGATTTTCGGGTAACTGAACAGGGACCAAGGACAGTCTTGTCATCAGATTCAGTCCTGGCCCGGCCATGAATAGGGTGCTAAGGGGATGGAGCCCAGTTCTATCCTGGGCCCACAGAGCATTGCCTGGCCTGGACCCTGGACCCAAGCCAGCAGAAGTTGCCACGCCAGTAAAGAAAAGCTGTGTTCTCCCACCTGGTTCTTGAAAATTTGAGTGGGGCCACCCTGCCTTCTCCAGCAGCTCCTTCCTGCCACCCTCCAGGCTCCATCTTCATTTACTCTCTCTATTCCTACCGTTTAAACTCTGTTCAGAGTCCAGATGCACTGGGCACTTTGCTCTCTCCCACTGTAGTGTGGCCTTAAAGCATCCCTAATCTAAACAGGTCAAAGTTAGTCATTCAGAAATACTTATGAAACTCACGAGGCGCCAGACAGTTCTCGGCACTGGGAAGCCAGCAGGGACCAGGATAGGCAAAGTCCTGGCCTCCCCAAGCGGACATTCTAGGGACTTTCATGAAAGGAGAGTTTCAACTTCACCACATAGGGGCCAGCCTGAGTGGGGAGAGACAGGGAGAATCACCCTAGATAAAGTCAGTAACTCATCCTTTTGCTTTGAACCACAGCCAGCCAGGGTTACTGAAGCCTAGTGGAAGGGACACTGTCCCTGCTGTTGAACAATTGGTCTGGGGCAAGTTTGAGCTCTCAGCTGTGATGACTGGGCCCTTTCATGCAACCTGGGAATTCACCTACACAGACCTCACCTGAGGCAGGAATGTGGTCTGTGCTGGGCTTCTGTCACCACCACCTGCCCAAACTTCCAACCCGAGGATTCAGGGGAAGCGAAAGTTGCTACATCCACCCAAGGTACTTTCTATTGCTCTGTCCCCTTTTGTGTTTGCAACAATCACTGTGTGGACCTTGGCAGGTGCTGTCCACACACTCTGGGATTACCTGTGGCATGCAGCCGGGGTCCATGCACAACTGCTTCATGTGGACAATGTGCTGAGTGGGAGTGGGGGTGGGGGTTAAGTAATTTAACTAAAAAGTAGGAAAAATATCAGAAATATCAGTTATATGTGAAGAAAAAAAATTTAGGAAATAGAATGAAAAGTTCCCATGAATTCCAAAGTTGAAGATGGGAAGTCAAGTGTATTTCAGCTCCTTGGGTGGTGGCTTTATTCCCTGTGCCCCAGTTCTATGGGGGAGTGGGGATTGCCTCTCCTCCACCCTGCCTCACGTCCTGTTTTGAAAGGCTCTGGTTTAAGATCTGCCCTCTGAGGGGGCCTTTGCTTGGTGGTACCTTCTCCCAAGTGCTCTCCAAGCAGGAAGGCAAGTATAGATGCCTAAGAGGAGATTCATTTGCCTGTTAGCCGGCTTCGATAACAGCAACCCAACCAAGTGGCTCTGGGCAACAGGGACAAATCATTCCCTCTCACAGTAAGAGCTCCCAAAGTAGAGATGATACAAGATTACATACATGAGCAGCTGAAAAATGTCATTGAGGACCCAGGTTCTCTCCATTTTCTCCCTCTGCCATTCACTTTTGCTCACGGTATCCTGTCTCATGTCCCTCATCAGATGCCCCCCAGGTTTCATTGGCCAGAATCAGCACAACCCACTTAACAATCTCCAGGTAAGACAAGGCCCCCATGCGCAGAAGTCACTATTTTGTGGAAGAGCCACACTCAAGGGGCCAGAGCAGCATGTGGCTCGCGAGCCGCAGTTTGCCGACCACTGGCCTAGACTAATGAAGAGTCGCCCTTTGGAGCTGGGTGGAGCCCACGGTCCTAAAAAGGACATAACCTAAGAAGAGGGCAACCCAATCAAGGCTCTGCCACCCAGGTAGCAAGGAGGAAATGGCTCCCTAGTGGGCAGCCCACAGGTCTGCAACAGGTGGTGGCCCCATTGACCTCTCTAAGGAAGGAATGGTAAAATGATCCTGATTTTATGCTCATGGGAACCAAACTGTTCTAAGACAAGAATCCTGCTTACTCAGCTGCCCTCAGGTTGAAGAGATAAAGCCCCCTTGACAGTGTTGACCCAGTGGCTCCCACCACAACCTTCTAGCAGGCCTACAGGTGCATGGTATTGAGAGGCACATGGCTTGTGCCCATTCTGATTACAGATTAATGTCAGAACCAAAACAGTGATGCTTGGCTTCAGTTCCTGTCTGTGTAATAAAACTGACCGTGTCCCTCTGTCTGGAGAATGCTCACTCTCATGGATAAGAAATACCACTCCATTGGAGATTTTGCTAGGGTTTTGTAAAGGTCCTTTTCGAAAAACTGAAAATCTTCTAATTCCTTGTGAAAAAATGTAGCATTTTTACAAAGAGAAAGAGGTCAGGAATCTATTTGTCCTGAACACCTGACTGTAAGTCCCTGCAATTCTGTGAAATACACCCTTGATGCTCATGAGTCCCTTCACTGCTGCTCACCACTCACTCACTTGACTTGGGTTGGCTGTCTCTCTTTGATTCATGAGGTCCACAAGTGCTGAAAGCTCAGGTCTCCATCCTGGTTTTCTCAGAAGAGCCAGAGGTGGTAATGGGCACGCCCCTGGAGCCTTCTGATTCTCCTCCGTCTCTAGGAAGTCCTCCCCATTGAGAGTATCCTCTTCCCACAGCAGGCCTTCCTTCCACCTGATATAAGAAAAGCAAGGCTCAGATTCCTCAGCGATGAACCCACACTGTCCACATTGTGAAACTTCTCTGACTCTGCTTCTGAGAGAGGCTATGTGTGTTCTGTCTCCAGCAACAGAAACAGGTTTCTTCTGGAACGGTTGAAAGCTCAGTGTCCGATGCTGTGCCTGTTTGAGATCCGGGCTCCCACCTATCAGTGGGATCTGGCTCCACCGAGAATCCATTGTCCCTTGGGCCTGGGCAGAGTGGACCGGGTCTGTGTCAGTAAGAAGACAGGTTTGGGGGATCTGGGGTTGGAGTTCGTGGGGCAGCCACCCTGGTTTCCTGTGCTGAGTCATTCTCCCACACTGCAGAGGATACCTTTCTCCAGTGAACCTCTCCTCTCCAGAAAAGGCTCCCCTGGTGAGCGCAGCAGTGGTGGCAGGAGCACCTCCGCTGCGGCGCTAAGGATGTCTGACTGAGGACTTAGGGGAGTGGGCCTAAGCTATTAGTCGGACATCCCCCGAGGGCTCCTGGACTGTAAGATGGCGCAGGCTGGGCTGAGGGACCTCCATGCACCGGGCCTCTAGTGTGTGTGTGTGTGTGTATGTATATGTGTGTGTGTTTCTCTCTCCCCCTCCCTTTCTCTGTGTGTGTGAGTATATATATATATATATATATTTTAAAAACTAAATGTAAAGAGACACAACCAAATGCTATTCTTGAATTTGATTGGATCCTACATTGAAAAAGCTTTAAAATTTCCAAATATTTTGCTAATAATTAGGGGAAATTTAGTTATGACCTCTGTATTACATGCTATTATTGACTTAATGTTGAAGTTCTTCAAGTTCATACTGGTTATATAGGACAATATTCTATTCCTAGGAGATACAACTGAAGGAATTAAGGGTGTACTGTTGTGATGTCTGCAGGTTATTTTCAAGTGGTTTAGTAAAAAAAAAATAAGTGTGTGTGTGTGTGTGTGTGTAGTAAAAGATAACAAAATGTTAAATAACTATTGTTCAATCTTAGGTGACAGGTGTGTGGGTTATTCATTATACTATTTTAATTTTTTCTCTGGGTTTAAAATATTCAAAATAAAAATCAAGGGAAGAAAACATCTTTTTCCGAATGACTCAAAATGTAATTTCAAGCTTTTGGGAAATAATATTAATGATCAATTTGTTTGAATGATCTGATATTACATAGAATGATAAAATTAGAGGGACCTTGGAGATTATCTGGTTTAGTCCCGTATTCATACAGATGAGGAGATCAGTCTGGCAGTAATTGAATCACTTCTTGAAATCACACTGTAAGCCAGTAGAGCTTGGATAGTGAATTCAGCTCTCCTGTTTTCCGGGATATTGCTCTTCCCGCTGTACCATGTTTTACCACTCCCAGTAAAGGACTTTGTAGGAGGTAAAAGTTGAATTAAAGAGAATATTATGTGTCATTTTTCTTCCTTGTATATCTTCAATGTGCTTTCCCCATTTTGACATTTTCAGACTGTGCTTGATCTATTGGTCTATAGATCAGGAATTTATAGTCGAAGACTTCCGCTACTTTTGACAGTTGCTGTTTTAGAAGCTTTTTTTCTAGAAATTTTTTGATCATATGGTTTGAGCATTGTGTTTTTGGTCACTTATTTTTATTATTCTCTAGTTTAAGCTATGAAGAAGGACATCCCTCACTCTCTGAAACAAATCGCCTTCAGAGACAGACTTTTGCAGCTTCTCATCAACTTCCTGGATATCCTACCACACCTCAGCCAACCGGTAAAAATTCTCTTGTGAACTATAACAGAATCTGGGTACATTTAGTGAATAAGGAAAAAAAAATCAGTTTTCACATGTTGGATTATGAATATGTGTGCAGTACCTAACAGTGTCATGGGAAATTTTAAAATAAAAATGAGATTAAAAGCTTTGTCTTATATTGATAAGGAATATAAACAACTAGTTAGTTGGGAGATCTTTTTCATGCATCTTTATAGATTTTAAATGATAACTATGCTTAGTCAAATTAATATTTGTTTGCTACTTCAAAATAAGACAGTTTAGAATTGTAGAATTTTGGCCTCAAATTTCAGAGAGTCCTTTTAAAAATGTGATCAGAAATACAATTTTATATTAATAATATCTTTACTTTGGGATATATTTTATCTTCAAATGTAGGTCTTTCTGGAATATTTGATACTGGTGTGAACAGTGCCAGCACTAACACTAAGGAATCTTCAGTAATGAACTTTCTCTCTTCTGTTGAATCTCAAACAGCTCAGGCTGCTTCTTCAGGAACTACTCTTTTACCACAATTCAGGGCTCCATCCTGGCAGACAGGTGATTCTTTGTTTTCAGAATTTTTAAGTCTTGTAAAAATATACTTTGTATGGGCCTTATCATTATGGTAGTGTGGCTGAGAGTGAAGTTAATTATTGATTTTCCAGTGAACTTTAAAACCTGGAATTTTTCACAATTTTAAGGTGGACAAAATAAATTTTACTAGCAGAAATTCAGTTTTAGCACTCTGATAAAAACCAAGTTGAAGAAAGAAGATAATTATTAAAGATAAACCCTAGAAGTAAAGTTTTTATCTGGTAACTTAAATACAGTTGACCCTTGAAAAATGGGTGTTAAGGGTGTATTGACCCCTTGCATAATTGAAAATCCACATATAACTTCTTTTTAAGAGCAAAATTTACTTTTTTCCCTATTACAGTTGACATTTAATATTATTGTATATTAGTTTCAAGAGTACAACATAGTGATTAGACATTTTTATAATTTGCAAAGTGATCGCTTTAATAATTCTAGTGCTCATCTGGCATCATACATAGTTATTACAGTATTCTTTATATTTGCTGTGTTGCAAATAACTTTTTAAAAAATATATTTTTATTGATTGCAGACAAAAAGGGAGAGGGGATGAGAGAGAATCATCAATCAGGTGCCTCCTACACGTCCCCCTCTGGGGATCGAGCCCACCCAGGCTTGTGCCCTGACTGGGAATTAAACCATGACTTCCTGGTTCATAGGTCGACGTTCAGCCATTGACCCATGTCGGCTGGGCATGCAAAAACTTTTGATTCCCCTAAAACCTAACTTCTAACAACCTACTGTGGACTGGAAGCCTTACCAATAAAGTAAGCAGTCGATTACACATTTTATATGTTTATATGTATTATGTGCTATATTAAAAGAAAGTAAGCTAGAGAAAAGAAGATGTTATTAAGAAAAATCAGCCCTAACCAGTTTGGCTCAGTGGATAGAGCATCAGCCTGCGGGCTCAAGGGTCCCAGATTCGATTCCAGTCAGGGGCGTGTACCTTGGTTGTGGGCACATCCCCAGTGGGGAGTGTGCAGGAGGCAGCTGATCGATGTTTCTCTCTCATCGATATTTCTGAAAAAAAAAAACAAGGAAAGAATAACTGCCTAAATAAAATAACCTCTCAAGTAATGTGACTGTAGTACCTATGTATCAACCACATATGGGGAAGCTATTCACACCTTTAGTGAATACTGATTTTTACAGTCTGAAGACATCACATATAAAATGTAATTAATAGCCGAAACCGGTTTGGCTCAGTGGATAGAGCGTCGGCCTGTGGACTGAGGGGTCTCAGGTTCGATTCCGTTCAAGGGCATGTACCTGGGTTGCGGGCGCATCTCCAGTGGGAGATGTGCAGGAGGCAGCTGGTCGATGTTTCTCATCGATATTTCTGGCTCTCTATCTCTCTCCCTTCCTCTCTGTAAAAAATCAATAAAATATATATATTTTAAAAATAAAAATAAAAAAGAAAAATCATAAGGAAGAGAAAATACATTTACACTATTTATTTTTAAAAATATTATGTAAGTGAACCCATGTAGTTCAAACCTGTGTATCTAAGGGCTAGCTGTAGTTCTTGTCTACTTGAGAGGAGCAGAGATTAAATTTCTTTTTTAAATTTTAGCTTTTATTGTGATTATAAAATTATAAGATACTGAAAATATACCTTGTAATGATTTTATATACGTTTACATTGTGAACGAATTCCCCCTCATTTAGTAAATTTACATTCATCACTTTATGTTTTATTTTTTGGTGAATGATTAAATTCACATATGTCAGCAACTGCAGGCTGGGTAGCTTATATGATAGAATAAAATCATGGGACTGATTTCATCATTAAAGTTATATAAATTTATTCTTAATTAAATTGATTGAATCACTATTTAATAAAAATCATTATACAAGGTGGGGCAAAACTAGGTATTATAGTTGTTTGTATGGAAAATAATACAATAATTAGTAAATAATAATATAAGAATTGACTTTCACATACAACTATAAACCTACTTTCGCCCCACTCTGTATTGTGTTCAGTTATATGTACTTGTAAATTTTATTTTCATTATTTTACTTTTCAACTGTTTCTCACCCCCAGTTATTTGTATGTTTTTATTTTTTACAGGATAACAGGAAGGTTAGTTTTTAAGGTTTTATTTTAAAGAATAAGAAACGTCATAGCATATTTGAGAAAACATTTGTAAATGATAGCTATAAGAAACAATATTTTATTCTAATGCAAATTACAATAGAGCTTCTTAAAATGTCTCAGCAATTTCTGCTTCTAAGAAGATAATGTTTAGTGTAAAATAAAACAGAATATTAAAAAACACAATAGCTTCATCTTTTGCTTCCTGGAATAATTTTACATATTCAGTTGGAGTTCTATTCTAGTTCCTATGGTAATATTATTTTAACCACTAATTATAAGTGTTATTTATTCTTTTAAGTGTAACTAGATATTTTCTGTCCTTGTAGTAGTAATACTTTTTTGACATTTAATGGAAAGAAGTAAGAGAAGAATGTTTTTGAAAGGACTAGAGAATCTGTTTTCCCCAATTTCTCCAAAGTGGAAAAAAATATTTTTAATGGAAACTCACTAAAAACCATGTAAACAATACAAGGGTATATAAAATGGACAGTGATAGTTTCTAACAACAGTCCCACGTTTTAGGGAAGATTTAACAGTTTGGTATTTACCTTTTTTTAAAAAATATATTTTTTATTGATTTTTTACAGCGAGGAAGGGAGAGGGATAGAGAGTTAGGAACATCCATGAGAGAGAAACTTCGATCAGCTGCCTCCTGCACACCCCCTACTGGGGATGTGCCTGCAACCAAGGTACAGGCCCTTGACTGGAATTGAACCCGGGACCCTTGAGTCCGCAGGCCGAAGCTTTATCCACTGAACTAAACCGGCTCTGGCTATTTTTTTATTTTTTTAAAAATATATTTTATTGATTTTTTACAGAGAAGAAGGGAGAGAAATAGAGAGTTAGAAACATCGATGAGAGAGAAACATCGATCAGCTGCCTCCTGCACACCCCCTACTGGGGATGTGCCTGCAACCCAGGTACATGCCCTTGACCGGAATCGAACCTGGGACCCTTCAGTCTGCCGGCCGACGCTCTATCCACTGAGCCAAACCGGTTAGGGCACTTTCCATTTTATATACCCTTGTATTGTTTACATGCTTTTTAGTGAGCAAATCCTATCTAATAAAACAGAAACATGGTAATTGGCGTACGACCGCTACCCTTCCCATTGGCTAATCAGTGAGATATGCAAATTAACTGACAGCCAAGATGGTGGCGGCAGCCAGGCAGCTGGAAACTAACATGAGGCTTGCTTGCTTTATTGATGGAGGAAGCCAAAGCTTCCCTGCCTGCTTTGCTGGCCTCTCAGCTGCACTCTAAGCAGCTATGTTACAAAAATAGAAGCTAAACAAAACCCCTGACTTCAGCCAGCAGGACTGCAACATTGTTTCAAATACAGAAGGGTAAACAAAGGCCAGAAACCTGGTTTCAGCAGTGGAAGTCTCATAGCTGGAGCGGAGCCTCAGAGCTAAAGTTGGCCCAGAATGAAAAAAAAAGGAAAAAAGGACAGGTTGGGAGCTTCAGTCACCCGTCAGCCTGAAAACGGCCCTCAGCCCCTCACCCAGGCTGGCCAGGCACCCCAGTGGGGACCCCCACCCGTGCACCAGGCTTCTATCCTATACAGTAAAAGGGTAATATGCCTCCCAGCAGTGGGATCAGCAGAGCCGCGAGGCCCGTGACAGGGGGCAGCGACCAAACCCCCCTGATCGGCCCTGCTCTGTGTGTGACAGGGGGCGGCGCTCTAACTCCCCTATCGGCCCTGCTCTGAGCCCGACCAGGGGCTGCACCTAGGGATTGGGCCTGCCCTCTGCCACCCGGGAGCAGGCCTAAGCCAGCAGGTCGTTATCTCCCAAGGGGTTCCAGACTGCGAGAGGGCACCGGCCGGGCTGAGGGACCCCCTCTCCACCCCGAGTGCACCAGGCCTCTAGTGTTACATAAGTATCTACTATGAAAACATATATATGTGTGTGTGTGTGTATTTGTGTGGTAATTGCATAAATATCTTCATGTCTTCTCTTCATAGGTATGCATTCCTCAGCAGCAGCTGAACTGTTCGTTACTGGACCTTTGCCAACCACTGGAACACTTTCACCTTCTGCCCTCTCTGCTTATCAGCATCCCACCACCTTCAACAATAGGAACTTTGCTACCACCTCACCTTTGGTGCTTCAGGATTCAAGTTTTAACACTACATCAAATGGAATTCTAAATCCTCATGACCCTTTGCTACAAATCAAAACTTCCCAGGGAACTGTTCCAACTGCTTTGGCATTTGAGCGCCTGGGCAGTTCTGTGTTATGTAACAGTGTACCACCTCAGTCCTCAACATATCGCTCAGCTCAAGAGTCTGCACCCCATCTTTTACAACCTCAGTTCAGTTTGTTGCCTTCAGCACTTGGGGGAACCCAGCAAATGCCTCAAGCCTACAGTACAACTCTCTTTACTAATTCTACTGCTTCCATTGAAAGAGCTCTTCGAGAATGTAGTGTTATTAAACACCATCAGCGGCCTTCAGGTACCCAGTCTATTCAGGCACAACTGACTGGTTCACAGCATTCCTTACATAGTTATCTATCAAATGCAAATGTAGTTAATTTTCAGGAAACAAGCAGGCAGTCATCTTTATCCTGTAGCCCAATTGGAGAGTCCACTCAGGTGAGCAATGGAGGACTGCAGCAGAAGACCTCCCAGGTATCAGTGGAACTTGCTCAATCTTATTCATCTGTAATTCCATCATCAGGGTATCCTCCTTCCACTATAATAGTAAAAAGCTGTTCTGCAAAGGAACCACTCACATCAACTAAGACTCCCAAACCTCAAAGTATAATTCCTCCTGTGCAAACACTAAGCTATTCCAAACCTTTACATAACCAGAGTTCTGTAATATCAGGCCAAGCACAAATTTATTCTACAGCACAGCTACCAAGCCTTTTATCAGTTAGTCAATCCCAAAATTATGGTTTAGTACAACCACATAATGTGCCATCTATTGTTCATTCACAGGTTTATAGATCCAGCAAAGTTGAAAAGTTGCCATCCTTATATAAAACACTGACTTTTTCTGGTTCACCTCAGACTATAACTTCTGAAAATCAGACACTTAATTATTCTAATCAGCAAGAGGTGTTATCCTCAGTTACAAATGAGAATTACCCTGCTCAAACAAGAGATCTGTCCTCAGTTAGCCAGTCTCAAAGTTACTCATCTGGTCATTCTCAGGGTTTATCACCAGCTAGCCAGACACAGGTTAATTATTCATCTCAATCACAAGTTTTGTCAGTTGTTAATCCTTCAGAAAGCTATGCTTCGGGGCAGTCCCTGACATTAACAGCTCCTTCTCTTTCTTATTCTTCCGCCTCACCGGCTCAGAGTTTGCCAGAGTCTAGCACAACCCAGAATTATATTTCTGTGCACTCTTCCCAAAATGCTCAAGCTCAAGGGTCATCATCTCCCCAGTCCCAAAAGTTTTTGCCTGCCATTCAGTCATCTTTTACGTCCTCTACTCATTGTCAGACATTAAAGGACAGCATACCTTCCCCTGATCCAAAGTCTTATGCTGAAAGGAAACTTGACTCAAATGTGTATACATCTTCAAAGCAAAAAGATGGTTTTCCAATGCAAGAGTTACAGGTATTACAGCCACAAGTATCTCTTGAGTCATCGACCCAAAGGCTATCTGATGGGGAAATTAGTGTTCAAGAATCAACTTATAAGGTGTCAAAGGCAGATGACAGATATTCTCAGAGCGTAATCAGAAGTAATTCCCATCTTGAAGGTGACGTTGTTGGGATTGCTCTACAAAGTTCAAAAAAAGAAGAAAGTATGGTTAGTTCAGTGACACAACTTAACCAACAAATTGGCCAAGTCAATAGTGCAGCAGCCCTTGATATTAAGAAGGCAACTGATTTAATGCAAACTCCACAAATAACATTGAATACTAAAGACCTAAACCAGCAGCACTCTCTTATACATAAGGTACATGATGTCAAGGTCCAGGAGCCGCATGATCAAATAATTAATGCATCATCTCAGATTCAAATTCCAAATCATACTTTAGGGCAGGACCATCAGGCATCTCTTCCTAATACACAGATCCTTTTAGATTCTACCTGTGATTTACAAATTCTTCAGCAGTCAATGCTGCAGGCAGGTTTAGGACAAGGAAAGGCGTCTTTACAAGTACATCATGTTCCAAGTCCTCAACAAATAGTGCATCCTTTTCTTCAAATGGATAGTCATGTTATTCAGAGCAATGGTGATCATTCTCAGCAGCAACTCCATACTCAGAACTCTGAAATTATGAAAATGGACCTCTCTGAGTCTTCAAAAGCTTTACAACAACATCTAACAACAAAGGGCCATTTTAGTGAAACAAATCAGCATGATTCAAAGAATCATTTTGTTTCCCTTGGATCAATATGTTTTCCAGAGGCAATTCTTCTCAATGATGAAAGAAATATTTTATCAAATGTGGATGATATCTTAGCAGCTACAGCAGCAGCTTGTGGGGTTACACCTTCTGATTTTTCCAAGTCAACTTCAAATGAAACCATTCCAACTGTTGAAGATGGTAATTCTAAATCTCATTTTCAGCAGTCATTAGATGTCGGGCATGTAAGTTCAGATTTTAACTCTATAACTGCTACAGTAGGAAAGCCACAGAATATAAATGATATTTCCTTAAATGGAAATCAAGTTACGGTAAACCTTTCACCAGTATCTACCCTTCAGTCAAAAATGACTCTTGATCAACAGCACATTGAAACACCAGTTCAAAATAAAGCATCTAAACTAACGTCACCAGTGACTGGACCAAGTCATGAAGTCCAGGAGCAAAGGTCTGGCCCATTCAAGAAACAGCCTGCTACCAATCATGACTTTGAAGATGATTGTGAAGTTCCTGTTGATAGCTCATTAAATAATAACAGAAACCAAGAGTTCGTTTCCAGTAGTAGAAGTATAAGTGGAGAGAGTGCTACATCGGAGAGTGACTTCACCTTAGGGGGTGATGACAGTGGTGTGTCAGTGAATCTGACAAGGAGTGCACTTGCACTGTTGGCCATGGCCCAACCTGGGGAGGCAATCAGTGTCAAGATTGAAGAAGAAAACCAAGATTTACTGCATTTTAACCTTCAGAAGAAGAAAACTAAAGGGAAAGGGCAAACTAAAGAGGAAGAGAACAGTAATCTGAAACAGCTGAAAAGACCTATCCAAGGCAAACGCCAGAATTCAAGGGGAACAGATATATATTTGCCATATACTCCTCCTCCCTCAGAAGGCTGCCATGATGTTTATCAGCATCAAGAAAAAATGAGACAGAAGATCAAAGAAGTAGAGGAAAAACAGCCAGAAGTCAAAACAGGATTTATTGCCTCTTTCTTAGATTTTCTGAAATCTGGGCCCAAGCAGCAGTTTTCCACTCTTGCTGTACGAATGCCTAACAGGACTAGACGACCAGGGACCCAGATTGTTCGTACATTTTGTCCCCCACCATTTCCAAAGACTTCATCTACAGTACCCACACCTTTAGTGTCTGAAACGGGGGATAACAGTCCATCAGAAAAAGTTGATAAGGAACTTAAAAACTTAGAACATTTATCTTCATTCTCATCTGATGAAGAAGATTCTGGAGTATGCAGTCAGGATATTTATAAAAGCACCTCTACTACCTTAACTACTTTGGATACTACTTCTGATAAAACAAAGGAAACAGGTAAAGTTTTAAAATTTAGATTTCATAATTATGGCTGTCCACTATTATTCTGGCTGTAAGACTGGCTTTGAAGCTTTTTTCGCTTGAAGCAGGTCTGCAAATTAATTTTCAGGACAAAATGCACAGGTAGGTACCTTAAGGACTTTTTTTTTTCCCCAGTGTTCCTTGACTGTAGGAATTTCTGGATTTCTGATGGAGTAGTTTTTTATTTTCCTTGACTTTTTATCACATGCAACTTAACTTGGTATGCTATCCAGACTTGTCTAATCTGAGACACCTTGAGGTGGGCTTATGAATATGAGGCGTTGTATTGAAGGCCCTGTTGTAGTATAAACTGGCATATTTTTTTGGTATGCCAATTTTACCTGAAGAGTAACATTTTACTATTAAATGTGGTTATATTGTATGTAGCATGTACAGTTAATATAAGATAAAATTTTCAGCTGGCTCCAGACTATGTCCAAATCACTTTAAGGGAACATTTAGAACTGTTTTAAGAAACATTATCTTATGTAAATAATTGACGAATATAAATACTACTATTTTAAAGGATATACTAAGGAAAAAATATTTAAAATAGTAAAATAGCTCCCACCTCTGTGCTAGGAACCTAGTAGCAATGGTGGCAAATATGCATTGTTACCTCCAATATACTGATAATATAACAGAGTAAATGAATTGCCCAGGTTCATGCAGCTAGTAGGTGGCAGAGCTGGATTCTGAACTCAGGTTTTCCTGGTTCTAGAGCCTAGCTCTTTTGTATAAACAGTAGTGCTTCAAGTGTTAAACCTTGTTTTGTGGTGTTCTTAGCTTCTTTCCAGACTTGAGACTATCTTTAACTACTAAAGTGACATGAAACAAATGGTATCCCAAATAATCTATTAGCATAACTATCTGCTAGTATGTTTCTGAAGAATTCTTACTTGGTGCTTAATGGGAAGAAAGACAAATAATATGTAAAAATTCTTCTTTTCCATATGTTACTCTCGAGCACTACTCTATCCCTGTTCCCTCTTCTGTGACAACTGAACTTCTCATTGTTCCTTAGACGGTGAGTCTTTAAACAGGTTTTCTTCTACCTCCTCTCCATTTTTAGCCCAGCAGACACTTAATTATCTTTGAAGACCATTTTCAAAGTCACATTGTGGAAGTTACTGCAGGCAAAATAAGTGCTCCTGTCTTCTAAATTCCCACAGCCCTTAATTCTGAAGGGCAGGCATTTTAAATTGTGATGAGATCTAACAAATCCACTTTTTCCTTTATGATCTATGCTTTTTGTCTAGCCCAGGGGTGGGCAAACTTTTTGACTCGAGACCCACAGTGGGTTCTTAAACTGGACCAGAGGGCTGGAACAAAAGCATGGATGGAGTGTTTGTGTGAACTAATATAAATTCAAAGTAAACATCATTACATAAAAGGGTACGGTCTTTTTTTTTTTTTTTTTAGTTTTATTCATTTCAAACGGGCTGGATCCGGCCCGCGGGCCGTAGTTTGCCCACGGCTGGTCTAGCCCATGGTTACAAAAATTTTCTCCTGTTTTCTTCTAGAAGTTGGAAAGTTTTGCATTTTACATTTAGGAGTATGGTGCCTTTTGATTATATTTTTGTGTAAGATATGAAATATGGGTTAATTTTTTTTTTACATATAGTAGTCCAGTGTTTCCAGTACCACTTATTGAAAAGACAATCCTTTCTCCATTGGTTGTTTTTGCACTTTTGTCAAAATCAGTTGGTCATATTTATATGAATCTATTTCTGGACTCAGTTCTGTTACATTGACCTATGTGTTTATGGTTTTACCAATACCACACTATTTTAATTGTTGTAGCTTTTTGGTAAGGCAGTGTGAGTCCTCCAAACTTGCCTTTTACAAAATTGTTTTGACTATTTTAGTTCCTTTCTTTTTCCACATACATTTTCAAATCAACTGTTGGCATCTACAAAAACTCCTGCCGGGATTTTGATTTTGATTTCCTTGAATCTATAGCATTTTGAGGAAAACAGCTGTTAACAATTTATTGAGTTTTAACAATTTATGAACATTTTTAAATTTCTTTCACTAGTTTTTTTGGCATATAGATCCTATACATGCTTTGTTAGATTTATTCTGGGATGTTTTTTGGGGTGTTATAAACTATACTTTTAAAAGCTTTCAAATTCCAATTATTCTTGGTAGATCATAAAAATACAGTTGCCTTTTATATGTTAACTAGAGGTCCGGTGCACGAAATTTGTGCACGGGGGGAGGAAGGAGTCCCTCAGCCTGGCATGAGTCCTTTCACAATCTGGGACCCCTTAGGTAGGGTTTCTAGGCCTGGCCAGCGATCAGGGCCTATTGGGATTTTCCTTCCCCTGGCTGCCCGCAGCTGGTCCCGCCCCCACTGCTGCCACTGCTTGCCATCTGTATGGCACTGCCCTCCCCTGCCAACCCTCTGCCACTGGTCACCTCCCTCTGCGGGTGACAGGTGTGGGGTGCGATTGCTTGGCTGGCCTGGGTCTCCCTCTGCAGGGCTTGCAGGCCAGTCGTGGCTGGCTTGGCACCAGAGCATGTCATAGGCTGGTCATCCGGATGGTCATTCTGCTGTTTGGTCGTTTGGTTGATTTGCATATTACATTTTTATTATTATAGATTTTAAATTCTGCAAATATGCACAACTCATTTATTCTAGGATATTTTTATTCCATAGGATTTTTTATGTAGAAAATGATGGCATCTGCAAATAGAGATAATTTATTTTTTTCTTTTCTAATCTTATGCCCTTTTTATCCCTGTCTTAATACACATGCTAGGATTTCTTATACAATGTTTAATGAGAGTGATGTGTTGGACATCATGATCATGTTCTTAATCTTTGGCAGAAAGGACTCAATCTTGCCATTAAGTATGATGTTAACTGTATGTTTTTTGTAGATGTCTTTTATCACATTAAAGAAGTTCCATAGCCAAAACCGGTTTGGCTCAGTGGTAGAGCGTCAGTCTGCGGACTGAAAGGTCCCAGGTTCGATTCCGGTCAAGGGCATGTACCTTGGTTGCGGGCATATCCCCAGTGGGAGATGTGCAGGAGGCAGCTGATCGATGTTTCTAACTCTCTATCTCTCTCCCTTCCTCTCTGTAAAAAAATCAATAAAATATATTTAAAAAAAAATAAATAAAGAAGTTCCATACATTTCTTAGATTGCTGACAGTTTTTACAATGAATGGAGGTTGAATTTTGTCAAATGCTTTTTTATCTGTTGAAATGATCGTGCAATTTTCTTGTTTTAAAATTCTTTTAAAAAACTTTTATTGATTGATTTTAGAGAGAGAAACATCGATTTGTTGTTTCACTTATATATGCATTCATTGGTTGATACTTATATGTGCCGTTACCAGCAATCAAACCTGCAACCTTGGAGTATTAGGACCATCCTCTAAACCAGCGATTGCCAACCAGTAGTCCGTGAACCACTGGTGGTCCGTGAGGTCTGAAAGGTTGGCGACCGCTGGTTTAGGGAAACCTCTGGAGCGGCAGTCACCAACTGGTGGTTTGTGGACCACTGTTGGTCCATGAGGTTTGAAAGGTTGGCAACTGCTGCTCTAAACAACTGAGCTACCAGGCCAGGGCTTCATGCAGTTTTCCCCTTTTTTTATACATGAATGGATTCGACTTTCTAATTTTTTTTTGCATCTCTGTTTGCAATCGATATTAGTATATACAGTGGGGCCTTGACTTTACGAGTGTCCAAATAACGAGTTTTTCGAGATACGAGCCGTCTCTTGGCTGATTTTTTGCTTTGAATTGCGAGCTAAAATTGGGGTTACGAGCCAGCTTCAGATACCCCACCGCTAGCTGGCGCAGTGAACGTCACAGTGAACGCCACAACATCCGCCCAGCATC